GTTTTATTTGGAATAATATTTCAAAAATAAAACTTGTGCTGGTTACGACCCAAGCAGTAAAGAGCCATAGTTTGATAATGACTGAATCATACATTCAGTTTTCGCCATTTTAATAAAATCCATTCTGATACTTATGCTGGTAATTATAAACTGCATTTATGTATACAGAAGTATGATTAATACACTAATATCAGAGAATATACGATTGTTATGCTCTGACAAGTTTTATCAAGATACCAATTTTTAGTTCATATAAAAGTCATAAATTCCCTAGCCAGATTTCATTTTTATATAAATAGATGCATAAAGGACAAAATGGAACAGTTAATTTCATTGTTTATTCTTTTTCAAAATTTAATTCCTTTAGATATAATTTTTAATGGTAAACTATATTCTGCCAAGTTATAAGAATATAAAAATATTACTAATAATAATTTATATCCTAATATTTTTATTCTACATATCCTAATTTATATCACTCAAAACAGAATTAGAAAATTCATTCAAATCATGTTTAATCAAACATTTTACGCAATTTTGGGGAAAAGAAATTTTGGGGTTTGTTTTGATTTTTTAATGGTGAATTCAATCATTAAAACATTTTTTACCGTGTTTCCTCATTCATATAAAATTAGCAAAATAATTTATTAAATAAATTTTAGATGTAATAGTATTCTTGTTTATCTTTTTGTTATATGTCTAAAAATAAATAAAAAAGCAGCTGGTATTCAATATTTATTTAAATTTAATTATTTAATTACAAATACTTGGGTATTGGTACTTAAGACATAGTCTTTCCATATTATCTCTTTTCTATTTATCCTTAAAATTATGTTAATGACCTAATAAAATTCGGGAAATCCTATGATTACATAAAACTGCGGGAGATGCTAATAATGGCAAATTTTAAATGAAAATAGAAATTAATTTAAATAGACTACAATAGAATAGAAATTTATTTAACTTTATTATTATTATTCTATGTCATTTCAGTATTATAATTTCATTTATTGCCTTAAATACTGCAATGTAATCATATGATTTGTAAGTGGGAGTCCCATGATTTTAAATTTATGCATATACGAGCAAAAATATTTTGAAAGTTAAAAATATATATATATTTTACAATTCATTTAACTGAAACCGTAAGAAACAAAAGGGATTTTTGTGAGTGTCTGTCTGCTTTATGCATTTAATCTATAAAATGTGGAAAAGTGAGAAAATCCATCCAACACAGAGAAATAATTCTTTCTAGTCTGTGATAAGATTGTATCAAATACACTTAAACTTCCGTTTAAATTCGAAATTTGATCCATCAAATCTACGAAGGAATACATTTTTGGTTTTAAATTCCACGTTACTAGCAACTGTATAATAGCTAAACCTACCAAAATTATCATACCAAATATTTTTAGAAAACTGCCAAAATTCTAGAAATTGCTTTAAAATCCCGAAAAACATTTGGAAGATTATTGCTTGCCAATTCCATGCTGAAAAGATCAAGCATTTATGAGGATGAGCTCGACTTTTAACGAACAACTTCAAATTCAACACTAAATATAAATATGTATGCCAAATTTTCTAAAAATTCCTGCAAAATATTGTACTCTCATTATAAATATATATGGATGTATAATGTGAAGAAAACTGTGTCAGTAAAAAAAGTGGATTAAAATTTAATTTCCCAAAATAAATTGGCCTGCTAAAACTAAATAAAATAGATAGGTAAATAGTAAAAAAATGTGTGTAACAAAATAAATAATGATCTTTCTTAAAATACTGCCCAATAAAACATGTCGAATAATTGAATATTTGCAAGCTTGGGAGCTAAAATTCTAAAAAGATTTCAAAGTCTACAAGCTTACAAGTACAAAGAAACAGGAGAGACAAAACTAATGCAGCAAGTTCTTCTTGCCATTCATTAGCGGGAAAGCAGTTTTATGGCTTATCCATTACACTAAGGGGAAGCAAAAATACTGCTCTAGGCTGTGCCATCTTAGAGAAATTTCAGAAAACAAAAGGTTTTTTTTTTTTTTTTTTTTTTTTTTTAAGAGGTTTGTTAACTGACAACACGGCTATTTTCAAAGCATTTCATTCGGAGGGACAGGCTCGTTAATGTGTTAAGTGCAAAGAACATGATATTTAATAAATAAAGGTAACACACAAAATGTTTAAAAAAATGCTCCTTTGGACGTAATTTAAGATCTGAAACCTTTCGCTTTTTTTTTTTTTTTTTTTTTTGTGTGTGTGTGTGTGTGTGTGTGTGTTTAGAAAATCATTGAAACATGAATTAATATATTCGGCTCTGTTTCCAACTTTAAATGTCCAAGCTTGATGTTCAAATTTATTTTCACATAACTGGACAAAAGTTTTGAATGGTTCTAAAGCATCACTTTGGTGTTAAAGGGGGAGGGTGATTCTAAAACCACTGTAATCATCTTTCATTAATATGAAATAATTTGCTCCATTTACTGATTGTGTGGGCATAGGCCCATAAATGTCACTGTATATTAATTGTGCTGGTTTAGTAGTGCTGGTTAGCATGTTGCTTATTGTACTGGGAACCTTCTCAAAAGAATTCATCTTTGAGACATCTAGATTTTTGATTTTAGTCTTTTAACATTCAGTTTACTAAGAGCTTTCAGGTTTATGTTCTTTTATGCCATATTCTTAGATTATCCTTGTAAGAAATGTTTGCTTCAGGAGAAACTAATTTTGAAAAGAATCAGTTGAAAAGCATGTGATACAAGTTATTTGCAGAATGTTTTTCTGAGCCAACTAACTGCACAATTGTATATATCAACATGATTTTGCATTTTTATTATCTTCTTACCTTTACCTCTAGTAATATCTTCAGAGAAAATATTTCTTTTCAGTCTGGAACTTGGAGAACACTACGTATTCTTTCTTCTTGCCATTTACCGTGAATAAGTTTCTGGGTATTTACATTCCCATTTCTCTGTTTCCCTGCTAAATACACTATAATTTGTTGTAATTCTTTCTGGAAGACCAGTTTCTTTTCCATTACACTAATTTAATTATTCATTCTTAATGTTTTTTATTATGGCAGATATAGCATGTTATTTTGTTTTTATGTATGCTTCTGTTATTATTTTGTATTTGTTCTAACATATATTGCTTTTTTTGTCTAAATTTATTACAATTAAAAGCAAAAAATAGCTAGAACTCACTTTTCTCAGATTGAGATAAGTTCCTTCATCGATGGACCCACCAGCGGCCGAGCGGTAAATTTGCTGAACACTGGTAGTTCGGTCCGAGGTTCAAATCCTGCAAACGGGCTCTGCGTGGGTGTTTTCGTGTTTTTCCCCATGTGTAACATGTATAGGAGCCAGTTTCCGTTAGAAAGTCCTTCACGAAATCATCCCTCCCCTTAGGCAGATAGCCCTCGAGGCTTTGCTGTAATTAAATAACCTAACCTAACCTTCAAACAAAACTTGTCAAATATGATCACAAGACCATCAATGAGTCTTGTGATCAGATTTGACAAGTTTTGTTTACTGTTATTGACAGATAACCAGGTTTGTCCAAAATTTCTATGTTTTTGGAGGCAGTGTTTCCAAAATTTTCAGAATTATAATTTCATCTCTAATACTTTTCACCCGAGTTCTTGATTTGATGAGAAAGATTTTCAATTTTTGCAGTATGCTACACTAGTGTCTCACTCCATTCCATTTTCAACTGATAAAATTTGTCAAGCAGCAAAATTTTGTTAAAATCAGATTTCAGCTTAAATACAGAATCTAATTTTTTTAAGCATTTCATTTGATGCAAAACAATTCTCAATAAGCGTGACTTGTGAAGCAATTGCATTGCCTTTTTCACATTTTGCTATCACTGCTTCATCATTTTCTTGCTTTACTTTAATTCCATTGGTGACAGAAAATACTACTTTGGCCTTGAGAGCACATGCAATTTAAAATCTCTATTGTGAATAATTTTGTCCATTGAATTTGTTTATAGGTGACACACCTATACCGAATTCAAACTGAGAATCAGTAGATCTACTTATATTCATAAATCTTTAATTTGTGTTAAACTGGACCATGATCTGTTCAAATTATTGGTTTAAATAAATTTGAGCTTAAAGTGGAATGAAAGTAACAACCAAATCATGGGCAACATATGCCACTGAAACACATTCATAGAATATAAATGCAAGAATACAATACTGTTATAAAAAAGTACAAAACTGTGACAGTGACATTACAGATTTAACATTCTCTGTATCTGATATTTCCCTAGAGGGTTAGGTAAAAACTCATCAGACCAAATCACTTTTTACTATTTAGTTTTTATTCAGAATAAGGGATAAAGTTATCCTTGGCCTGGGCAAAATGTTTTTCCATTGAACTGGAATCAGTAAACGCTTGCACAAAATGAAACCTATTGCTAGTCTTCTATTTTGATGAAGATTGTGCTGTGCATTCCTATTGCATCTGCAAAAATACCGTGTTGTGTTTCTTCATGAAGCAATGCAAAATGTAACCTTCCTTAGAAATACTCATTGTGCCTGCATCTTAGTGTAAGGAAGTCCATTTTCCTTATAGTGTACAAGAAATTTTTTTAGAGTAAATTTGTTAAAATTTTACTCGCAAGCAATCAGTTGCATAGCTATTCCATTTTATAATTTGTGAAAAATCTCACATTTGTACAGTCCTAGATAATATCTTTTGATTTTTTTTTTTTTTTTTTTTTTTTTTTTTTTTTTTTTTTTTTTTTTTTTTTTTTTTTTTTTTTTTTTTTTTTTTTTTTTTTTTTTTTTTTTTTTTTTTTTTTTTTTTTTTTTTTTTTTTTTTCAAGTATTAACAATGCGAATAATGCGTTCAGTTTTGTGCTGTCCTTCATTTGCACATTCGCAACTACTTGTAACTTAACAATTAGCTCTTGTAATGACGAAATGTCTAATTAGTTAATTTTTTCTGTGTTAATATTTGTTTCAGGTTAAATGTCACATGAAACTGTACTTTTGATTTATTGAAAAAATATATATTTGTTTATTTCTCACATCATTTAAGATAAAAGTATAAAGATAAGTATTCTTATTTAATAATAATTTTTATTTTGCAGCATTCAATTCTTGACATAAAATGTCCTGTCTTTGAAGCAGATCAAGTAAGTAGTCAGTCCCTCTCTCTCTCTTTTTTTTTTGGGGGGGGGGGGGATTTTATTTCATTTTCAGTTATGTGAGAAAGCAGATTTTTATTTCTTCAGTATTGTTAATGAGATTTTTTTTTTTTTTTTTTTTTTTTTTTTTTTTTTTTTTTTTTTTTTTTTTTTTTTAATGGATCAAAATAGTAAAAACTTTTTTAACATTTGAACTCTGTTTTTTAAAATAATAGTAATAAGCAAAATAAAAACATGTTACACCATGTAATGAAGAGTAAAACATAGAGCAAATTTAATATGAAATAAACTAACAGATGACAAAATAAATTATATTATATAAACAACTCTAATGTAGTGACATTGTTTAGAGTAGTAGCTGCAGACTTCTGCACATATAAAGATCAATTTAAGAGATATGTGTGCTAAATTGATAACAAAATATTTAACAATAGTGCAATTTAATATGGTTATTAATAAAATATTTGTCATTCAAAATATAGTTTATTTTTTAAGTACCAGTATCATATTTATTTGTGTTACTTTGTGAAAGAAATGCAGTAACATAATGCATTTTCAAAAGAAAAAAACTGAGTTACCTGCTTGAAAAATTGCTAATTTTCAGAATATGGAAATGTATTGCGCAACTTTTAATACAGAAAACACAGTAGTTTTTTTATGATTTAAAAATGTGTCTCTTTCATAAGTTATCATACTTAAAAGGGGTGACCAGTTTCGTGCTACATATATTATAGATGCACATTTTATCTCACAAAAGTCTTCGTACACTGAAATATTTTTGGATAAAATCAAAATCAGAATTATTGCTTGCCGCTTTTTTTAATTTTTCCATTGTGGTGGCATTTAAAAAATTGTTTGCTTTAATTTTTTATTGTTTGCTTCATAATATTCTATTTATTATTGAAAAATGGGTTGCAATCGTAAAGAAATGAGAAACAGCATTTGAAAATTGATAATTTTTTACCACAATGATGGTAAATCAATTCAAAGTATCACTAAATTAGTTAATTTATCCCATTCTACAGTGCAGTATGTGACAAAACGCTTTAAAGAAGAAAATCGAATTGAAAACAAGGTAAGAAAAGGTCGATCGAGAAAGTTAACTAAACGTTATGAGAGATTTATTATTAGAAAATTTGTGAAAAACACAGTTTGAGTGCTGTAAAAGTTTTTGCAGAATTTAATGCAAAGTTTTCTACTTCAACTTCACCTGAAACTGTTCGACGAGTTCTCAGAGAAGCTGGATTACATGGGTATTCTGCCCATAAAACATTTTTTGTTAGTAAGAAAAACAGAAAGCTTAGGCTTTCATTCACAAAATCAATGATAAATACACCCAAAACGTACTGGAATAATGTCCTATTTGCTGATTAAAGCAATTTAACATTTTTGGTTCCGATGGTCGAATAACTGTATGGAGAAGAAAAAATGAGAACTTCATTCTAAGAACTTAGTTGGAACAGTTAAGCATGGCGGTGGAGATGTTCTTGTATGGGGGTGCATGGTAGCATCAGGACTAGGTAATTTGGTATTTATTGATGGCATAATTAATCATTCTCTTTATTTAAATATTTTAAGAGACAATTTAAAATTATCAGCCGAAAGTTTTGGTATTGGAAACAACTTTATTTTTAATCATGATAACGATCCTAAGCATATGGCACTCAATGTTTTCTTGTGGTGTCTCTATAATTGTCCACATGTTTTTAAAACACCACTTCAGTTGCCAGATTTAAACCCCATAGAACACATTTGGAAAGAACTGGAGGTTAGAGTAAGAAAACATGACATCAAAACAAAAAGCAAAGTCAAAATAGTCATGATGGAAGAATGGATAAACATTGATACAGAAATTACAAAAAAAACTAGTAAAATCTATTCCCAGACTTTAAAAGCCATTATGGATGCTACAGGATATCCTACTAAATATTAATTTAACAAAAAATGAAAATATTTACTAATATGTCAAGATTTTTTTTAAGTGTATGAAGATTTTTGCGATATAAAATGTGTTGTCATTTCTTTATTATTAATTTCTTAAAAATAAAGTTTCACTATATTTTAAAAATATTTCATTCATGTAATTTTGTTGCAAAGATATAGATTATAGATCTTATTATTAAAATCTCATTTCAGAAAAGTTTGCTTTTTAATTATGATGGATAGGGGAGGGCGCTATTTCATGAAAAATCAATAAGTGTAGGTAAACGAACAATTTTGGGAGCCAATGTATTTATGCAATTAGTATAACAGTATACATTGAACACAGCATGTAGGATTGGCCCCCAATGATGCCCCCCCCCAAAAAGTAGAATGTAGGAATGCGTATTCGTAGAATCAAGTTAGGCATGGAGTATTATTTCTTTTCATCATCTTTTCATCAAAGCAGATTAGTTCTTCTGCAGGAGAATTTAAATAGGTGTACATTTCTTCCAACCAAAGGTTGCTTCAAGATTTTGGTTGCCATGCAGTTAAGGTGTAACATTTTGGCACCAAAGGATTCATCTGCATTTCCATGTATGCTTTATGTCACCAGGGCTCTGAAGCAGAAAATAAACACTTTTCAATAAGTAACCCTAGCCCTTATAATCCTGTCTTTGCGTGATTTTTCTTTTGTTTTTCTAAAAAATCTCTGAAGGTCATTGGTTTAAGTTAAACAGTCTTGAGCAGCAGATGGAATGTTTTATTTCTTAATGAGGCAATTGCGTAAATGTCACCGATAAATTTCTTTATAATACTGTCTTGTTTCAATTGCGTTTTCTATTGGAAGATTAAAATTTTTCAATCTCTTTCTTGAAGTGATTCACTGAGTTTACAGTCTTTTAGCTTATAACAATCATACTAATTTCTCTTATTATTAGAGGGTATGAGAAAATGCTTTTTGTAAGTAACCTTTATCAATCTAATTAATGAGGCAATTGCGTAAATGTCACCGATAATTTCTTGTACCTTCAACTTACTGCATTTTACAGAAGGAAGACGGAAAATTTTAATATCTCTTTTATAATACTGACATTATTTATGCTAATAAGCTAGCATATAACTCTTTTCATAGTGGTATGAGAGAAATAGCTTTGTTAATATCCTTTCCATCATACTTTTAAGCAGAAAAGATCTCTAAATTAATAAAACAGTTGCTAACATTCATCTCTATGATGAATTGATTTTATGGTTTAAGATTGATAATTAGAAAGGATGTGTATATTCAATAAATTTCATTGTGCATCAATTTAAGCAGATGATACTAAACTAAAGCATTTTGAAGATGGTCATTACATGTGTTTCCAAAGATAGAATGAATCTGAAACAGCTCCATGTGTATCACTAAACTAGAGAGATGGTTTTCTTATTTTTCAGTTGGTGATATTCCTATCCGCTTTTTTATGAACTAATACAGTGTAAGCTTGCTATTTGAATATGATTTTGTACTTCTTTATATAATAATTAAAATAATAAATCACTTATGTTTTCTTTTAGCTGAAAGAAATGAAATGCTACATGGAAAATTTTCCATTTCCATTTTACATTATCTTGAGGGATATTTCATCATTGCCATTAGTTTTAGGGGAAGCATTGCGTCAGTGGTTTGAATTAGTAACATCAGTCGAACGCTGAGAATAACTTTTTTGTCTTTCATAACACCTATGTGTATGTATTAGATTGTTCATTTTAGTCTTTTTATTGATCATACTCTAATTCATTATTTGTAAAATTATTTATGTTCCTATTCACAGATTATTCATACATTTGAAATGAGTGAAATATTTGTTTTTAGTTATTTGCTTTCATTTAATACTGTATTGTGAATTTACATTCTTTTAAAAATTATTACAACTTGTCTTTCTGTATACAGTTTTTATGTATTGATTAAAGCAATATATATATATATATATATATATATATAGTGGCAGCGTTTCAAAGCAGTCTTTTTAAATTTGATGTTGTTATAACTTAACTTTTTGTATTCTAAATATACACTATTCTTTTTTATGACCATATTTAGTAGATGAAGAAAACTGAATGTCTTCTGTACATTAAATGTTATTGGAAATTTAATATAATGTTATGTTTGTTTGTTCTGCTTGTTGAATTTGATTAGAAGATCTGTGTAATTCTTTACATTGTTTATTTAAAATATAACAAAAATATGAAATTCCCATTTAAAAATTTAAAACCAAATTATAATTTCTTTAATCAGACTGAATGAAGGTGCCAAAACTTGATGTCTGTCACTAAATAAAAACTTTTGTAATTTTATCTTTTTTGTTATTTTATAAATTTAATAATTTTTATTGTTTGTAATAAATCTAATGTTTTTGATATCATCGTAAAGGAAAGTTGATAACTGAACTCATGACATTTTGCATGCACATCATTTTTTATTAAGAAAAATGGATGTTAAAAATTGTAGTTTAAGTATGTTTAATGTAGTTGATTATTGTTCAACACTGTATAACTGATGTAAGTTGTAGTGTTGTAAATTTTTTCTTCTTCATGTGCAAGAATTTATTTTAAAAAACAAAGGGCTTCTAAAATATATTTAAAGTTAAAATAATTTTATCAGGTATAATTCTTTATGTTGTGTTCTGCAGTGATATCATTTTATTGGTGAAAAATTTCTTTAATTTAGTTTATAATGAATTAAATAAACATTTTTTACCCTTTCATGTAGCAATTTTTTGTTTAATGTAATATGCATGTAGATGTTTCTCTTGAATATATAATAAAATTTGTCATTTTCTAATCTGTTTTATAATTGTTGAAAATCACACTGAAGTTGTTTTAGTTTCTTGGAATGTGAAATAAAAATAATTAATTTCCATTACAACTTGTGTAATTTATGTTATTTCATGCTCGGTTTGGCTTGTATTCATGAATCACAAATCGTAAAATGAGATTAAGCACCCGCCAGGACAGCATTACATGTGTATATGCATGTATATATATATATATAGTATGTATGACAATGGACTGTTATGTTATACAGTACAAAGTCCAGACTCGTCAGGACTTTGGCGATTCCGGATTATAGATCATCAATTTAAATCTGGTAAGATGGTATGCAAAAATTATACAATTAAAAATATGAAACCGTAATTTATGAAATAAAGAGCAATTATGATCTAAAGGGTATCAAAATTTACAAAAAAAAGCTTAATATTTATTTGTTTACTTTATTAAACATTTCTTTCAGTGTAAGTTGTTTAAGTTGCTTCGTTTTTTTCTGCTAATACTTTCTCTTTAATACTATAAACAGACATTTTTTGTTCAGTTACAAAGTTCCACTGTTCGAGTTCTGTAATTGCTGTGTCGAGAATACCAACTAACTTGTCAATCAAAATTTTTTCATTTTCATTTCGTCTCTGTCACTTTTTTTACTATCGTAAGCGCGCGTGGGTAACCGTTTTAAGCGCATGCCTAGCAGGCGCACGCATTAAACGCGCCTGCATAAGTTTGTGGCTTTGAGGTCCGGATTACAGACTTTGTACTGTATAGATATATATATGTGTGTGTGTAATATATTCAGGAGCAGGAATTTTGATTGCTTAGAAGTGTTGATCCATAATGAGGAGGAACAGGAGGAGGAAGGTCTTCAGTTTTATTTTCAGCAGCACATAAGTCAGCACATTAAATATGCCTGTTCCAAAGGGCTTACATTTTTTATAACTTCGCAGCAAGAAAGCAGCATCAGTCAGACAGCCATCTAGCTAGGCCAAAGCGTGGAAAGCAAGTGTGTAATGTTAAGGATGATGTTAAGCCAAACTGAGTTAGTTTTGGTTCTCAAAGCATTCTGATTGGACAGTTGATATTGCTATTGGCTGGTTGAGTTTTAGTTCCATTTACATCATCATAATTACGTAAGAATCATATGACATAGAATAGTCTCGAAATGATGCAGTGCAGAGAGATTACTATTTTTAGAATAGAGGTGGGAAATTCATGTTGCTAATTTAATCTTTTACATAGTCTTTATTTTTGTTACACACACACACATATATATATACAAGAAAAATAACATATATATATGCAAAGAAGAGGAAAGTTCTGAAAACTATTGCTTAAAAGTACATTTGATATTGCAGTTCCAGAGTAAAAAACTTACACCATGTATAAACACTAATACAATACTAAAAAATAAAAGTTATTGCATAAAAACTTAATGTAAAAATTAGAAAATGGTATAAACTTCAAAAACAAAAAGGGATAAGAAAACTAATGAATTTTAAATGATGCATGCAAACAATCAAAAACATTTCAAAGACAAAAAAATATACATACAAAGAATTGCAATAAATGGTAAATTAGCTCAACTCAAGGTTTAAGACAGACTTATCAAGGGAAAAGTGGGATAAAACTCGAATCCAGCTAACACCATTAGCGCGTTACATCAAACGAAAGCAATTCAGACTGAAAGACAATTGAGACTTCATTAATAAAATTATCAACTTTTAAGCAATTTTATCGTACTTTCAAGCAATAGCTTTTTAGAACTTTCTTATTCTTTGCAAATATTTTAAAAATTTGCAGCCCAAAGCACAAAATTCTTGACCTCATAGGTCTCTCTTGTTCGTGTACTACTTTCTACTTTGATATATATATATGTGTGTGTATACACGTGTTGGTCAATGATATCGTGTTGACCGACGCGCATATGCGCTCATGCCAGACATGCATCGACACCTTAGGTGGGCCTATGCATATTATTTTGAGCAAATCTGGATTGCTCTTTCTTCATTCATTAAATAATGCTTCTGATTCTCCAACTGTCTTCGCATTTTCTTCATTGTCTGTGACATGTAACTGCCCAGCATATACAGTGATTAATAATTCTGCTGTTCCAATGGACTGTTTCGAATCCCAGAGAAGACATGGATGTTTGTAAACATATAGTGTCTGTGTAGCAAAGATGCTCTAAAAATACACTGTGAGCTGAAAGTCCTTTCTGGAGGTTGGCATTGTGTAAACACGGCTGGGATACCCGTATATTGCCCCATGGGGATGTTCTCAAAATAGGGGTGGAAGCTTGCAACTGGCAATACCTAATATACCTACAGAAATGCACAAGTGCCAGCCTTGCTTCCACCTATACCTCTCTCCACCATGTAATAGCAAAATCCCTCTGAATGGATCCCTCCAACCCAAAATCAGATAGTGTGTCAATATAACGTCTTCATTTATACAATTTATAATGGAAAACAAATACGATTTTACTTTTATCCAAGAACCATATGTGCATGCGGAGAAACCAGAGGTATGCCAAAAACATGGGAAACAATTTTGATATGGCAAAACCACTCAGGTTATCTGTCTAAGAGGAGGGATGCCTTCACGGAGGACTTTTTGAGGGAAGCTAGGATCAAACCCAACCAAGAAGAATTACCAATATTCAGCAGTCTTAACTGTTTGGCCATTGAACTGCCTTAGAAAACAAAACCTTGAATGATTAGTAGCAAGTTGCACCCAACACACTTTTATAACCAAGAACATTATTGTAAATAACCAGTTTATTACCAAGTTCAGCAATAGTACTGTATATAGTGAATTGCAACCATCAAAAGACATCCAGAGAGAATAAGGCATTTATGCATGATCATATGTGTTGCTGTATTTTATTTTATATTTTTTTTTTTTTTTTTTTTTTTGTGTCACATCAACCTGTTTCTATAGAAAGTTTCTTTTAAAGCTGTTCATTAGTACTGGAGCTAATTGACCAATGTAAAATTTTTCTTTATTTCGAACACTAATGCATAGATTAACATCCACTTTATTTTGAAGAAAACAAGGTTACTTTTAAAATTGAATTTAATAGCACTTTGTAATATTGAAACATTTTATTAATTATATGGAACTGCATTTAAATACAAATTTTGAAACACTCACATAAAATCCTTTCCATAATGCAAAAAATATTGAATACATTCATTATAAATAAAACTTTTACAAAGTCAGTATATGTAAACGTAAATCCTGAATGTTTTCATCAAAAACGTAAAAGTATTCTATCATATGCTAAGTTTCTATTAAGTCTAGAAAATTTGACTATATTTAAATGGCAATGAAGCATATTGCATACGTAATTTTGGGGCATATAGTCTATGATATGTATCCTTCAGTTCCTGATATTCAGGGGATTCTTCAAATGGCAGTGTACTAGACAACATTACATCAGGACTAGTGTTACGTAAAAAGACTGACTGATCTTCATCATTGAAATATATAAGGTGTGGATATTTCTCTGCGTACTTGAAGCTTGGACAAGGTTTTTCACATTTTCTAAAACTGGTGATTAATTGAAGTTTATTGGTACTGCGTTTACTACCTGGTTTCCTGCCTCTTTTCTTCTTAATGGGTTCTGTTGGTACATTAGCTGTGGATTTTGTTGCTGTGATAGGCTGGTTGTTTGCAAAGGACTGTGCATCAGTATTATGTGCACTATTCTGGATAATATCAGCTCAAACAGCCGATTTTAATTCTTCATTTAATGTATCTTCTTTATTAGGAGTGCTTACATTTTCCTTATCATTTGATGCTTCCCACTTATGCTACAATAGATGCCTTTCAACTCCTGAAAACAAAAGTTTTATTAGAAATTTGTGCAACTAAATTGAATGTGTAAAACATTTTAGCTATAATGACTAAGGTAATATTATAAGGGAGATTTTTAAAAAATCAAAAAAAAAATTTTCTAATTTCAGTCATCGTTTGGAAATTTGCTCTCCAATGTGAAAGCAAATTTGTACCGTTTTCTATCATTTTTAATACGTTGCTATTTTAACTCTTGAAATTTCTTATGTGGTCCCCCTGTGTTTCCCCAAAAAGCAAAAATAATTTTTTTTAATGATTGAAATATTTAATTTGTATGATCCAGCAATTTTAGCGTACATTCTGATAAATAAATTGTTTTTCATCTGCGTAAAAAATTTCTGCATTCAAGATCTATTTTGTAAGAAAAAAAAAAAAGAAAAATCACCTTTAACAATTTCTACACACTATTCTTTTTCAAAATATGCTATAGTAGTTGGACATTACTGTGCCCATTTGGTTCTTTTGTTCTTTTTCTGTTCTGAAAAACGATGAAATTTATCTTGCTTATTACAAACAATGACATGGGTCTTCATGCCTCCTGAAGAGCAAGAAATAAAGTTCATCACAAGTAACTCTGGAATGTAGCCCACCATGGTCGATCGGTAAATCGCTGACACTGGTATTCGGTCCGAGGTTTCTAATCCTGCGAACGTGCTCTGCATGGGTGTTTTCGTGTTTTTCTCCCCATGTGTAACATGTATAGGAGCCAGTTTTCCCTTAGAAGGTCCCTCGTACCCTCCCCTAGCAGATAGCCCTCGAGGCTTTGCCATAATTAAATAAACCAAACCTGGAAATTGTAAATATGGAATTCACTAGGAAAGTATCTGTCGTGAAAGTGTTTAAGTAAAAAAGGAAATTTCTTATTAATCTCATGTTATCGTTAAATGAAAACATGGTTCATTAGACTTAATAAAATTCACTATATCATTGGCTTAAAGTATAACAGTATATTTTGAATTTTTTATTCTCCCAATTATTCAGTTTCAGTTTTTGAGGTATGCGGTTTTTAAACATCCCTTTTGGGATCTATGACCATGGCCATTTGATATGATATGCCTAATTGTCCTTATTTATTACTCATTTCGTGGCATAATTTGATTCGATTTAATTCCCTTTCCTTTTAATTAAGTTCCTTTTGGTGAAGTATTGAAAGAATTGGTTGCCTGATAGTAGTTAAAGATCTAGATCAAATATAATTATACTAGATGCAATAGTCTGAACATTTTTAAAAAGTCCATCGAGGCAAATTGTGTGTTAACCCATCCAATTTGCAGAAGATGAAGTAGAAGCTTGTTCGATCAAAGCAGTTTAGTAAAAGTTCTCAAACACTTGAACTTTATCACGATAAAAAGTCATGAACTTCTGATACAAAGCAAGCATCGAAAACCGGAATTATAAATATGCAGTGCATATGTAAAAGATTATTAAAAAGAAAGTTTTTTTTTTTTTTAAATGACTACTATTTGCTTTCATAGAGTCAGTTGCAATTTACTGTCACTGCATACTTAAGAGTAGTTTCAGAGTGACATAAAGCTTATAAGTTATTTGAAAGGGTTGCTTTTCATATTCACTGTTAAAACATTTCTTTTTCGTTTCGAAAAAATCTGTTAGATTACAGAATTGTATAGATTTAACAGCTATACCCCCACCCCTCTTTTTCTTCTCTGCCCCAAGAGTTGAATTGCTGTTTTTATGGCATGAATCCTTTAAAAACTGGTATCTACAATTAGAAATAAAACTTCAGAATACTTCTGACTTAAGATAAAGCTTCAGAATACTTCTGACTTAAAATAAAGCTTTAGAATACTTCTGACTTGCCTGCAATTTCAATATACACTGATCATCAAAATTAAAGGCTAACAACAGAAATAAAACGTAACTGATACTTAACGAAAAATTATTAGTAGAAATTTATACAAAACATTAGTTAATATAAATTACAATGTTTAGCAGTTGATATTCGCGGAATATTCAAATTAAAACCAAATTTATGGGACTTGGAAAACGATAGAAAAATTAAGTCAACTCTTGTGAAAATAATTTTTCTTTAATATATGGGGTATGGCTAACTCGAACAGATATGCGTACCTCACAGCTTGTTTCATAGACTTTACCAAAGTGTTGATCAAGTCTTGTGGAACTGCATACCACTCATCTAAAAGTGTGCTTTTCAGCTCCTGGAGGGAACGAAGAGGAGTTTGGGCGCCCTACCTAAGACATTCCGCACATGCTCAATTGGGTGAGTAAGGTGGCCAGTCCATTCCAGGGATATCTTCTGTTTGCAAGTATTCTGGCACCACATATGCTCATATGCTCTATGAGGCCAAGCATTGTGATCTAGTAGCAAAAACTCTGGGTCAACAGCACTCCTAAACAGTTTAACTTGGGGTTTCAGTACTTCGTCCACATATCTCCGATCGGTTATAGAACCTTCTTTGAAAGATATGCTGCTCGGTGCGGTCATTTATCATGATCTTCCTAAATCATTAAAGCGGGGTCGCGGAAACCGGAGGCAAGTTTTTTTCACAGGCAAGGGGAGGCAAGTTGCTTGTTCCTTTCTCTCTCCAGATCAAAACATATCTAGAATCAATGTGAAGACTATATCTAGACTCGTTAGTAAACAATAATCGGGTCCTCTTCTGGCTTGATTGAACGACATGGAGCAATTTTTAGGGCCCTTCTGGAAGCTGGGAGAGAGTGGGACATCAAACCATAGTTTTCTCGCGTACATTCCAACCTCGTTAAGCCTTCATGCAGCAGTAGAACGGTTAATTTGAGTTCCTGTGGCAACCTGAAGGTCTAGAACCAAATCCCGGGCAGTCGCGTTGCGATTTCTTCGAGCTGGAAACGACAGAAAACAGTCTTCGGATGCAGTTGTTGCTCTTGGTCGCCTTTGACCAATTGGTCGCTTTGGTCTCTATCAACTAATCCTGCAATGCTTAAAAAGCGATTTCAAACTTGGATATGGCACTTTGAGGGATATTCAAATCTTGGATGACCTCCCTCGATTCTACCAATTATTTGCCACTTTTGAGCTTCCCTTAAATGATGCGTTTGGGCCATAACTACTGCATACTGATCAAATATCAAATTAAACATTAAGGGGCTATTTATAATTTAAATTATAATTTTTATTTAACATCTTTTTTCTCTTATATACTTATTGTAATGGGATGACAGAGAAAGCTGCAACGGAGTGCTGATGGTTCTTTGTGTTGTAATAACTTGGAAAGGCTTTACTGCTATTACAAGATGAAGAGACGCTTGAAGACAAACTTAGCCGTAAGTTCCACACATAATTTTATTCCTTGATAACTACTTACTAGGACACATATTCTTTTTCATTGCACATCGTCATTGTGGGTGAGCCATGCACCCCACGGTTTTATACAGATTATATTTTTAGAACAATGGCTAACAGAGGCTATGCGACACGTCAGCGAGCGAAGTTGCGTCTTAAAGGGAACAGAGGTAGATGAAGAGTACGGAGCTACGCAAAATGGCAGCCTATTAAGAGAAAGGTTTCAGTTCTCGAAATTCTGATTTCAAGTTCCGAATTCGGTACGTCAATGAAGGAAGATCATCAGCCAAGAGAGAAAAGTATGGCATTTGAAAAGAAATAAACTGATAAGTTAATAATAAGAAAAAAGTTCAAAATTTAACTTCCCAGCATTAACCAATCAGAAAGTAATAAAGATCAACAAACGTTTTAGGAAAAATATGACATAAAAATGGAAAGTCATCTAAAAGTGAGAAAACAAGATAAAAGTTAAACAAAAGACTTCTAAACTAAAATATATTTCCTAGCGAATAAAAGTTTTCTTCCCTCGAGCATCATCTTTAGTTTCCCTAGTAAAATAACAAGAAAAGTTCTCAAAATTCAAACAAATGTATCTAAGTTTATACTAGTAACCCTAAAAATAAAAAGTTCCATCCACAACCTAAAAGCGAAAAGGCTAAAGAACTGAGAGGTGTATTTTTTGTCTTTGTTGGAAGGAGGAAAAGATGAAAAATAAACAACGGCAGGAATCGACCGCGAACCTCTCGAATCGCGCCGAGCGTGAACCCGCTACTAAGGCAAGCTAAGAGTGTGGAAATACTTTATATCGGGAGAAATACCTTATAATGGAAGCGCGTAATAGCAACAGAAGGGGAAAGTATTAGATAAAAAAAAAAAATTTAACATTTTTTTCTGTTAAAGATAAAAAGTGATTCTTTGAGAGATTTTTTTTATCCAACCATTAAATTTTTATTCTTCTCTTCAAATTCTGTACACAAGAGATAAAATCCACGAAACGTTTATGAGTGCATATACTGCCATCGGACTAAAATCAAAGACAAGTTATGAATTTACATTTATTAATTGTAAGTACCTATATTGTCATTGGATTAAAATCAAGTATTAAACTAAAAATCTCTTGATTTCAACAATTAAAGCAATCCTGAAATACCCTGCTCGAACAGTTGCAGCACGCAAAATGAGGGAATTGCAAATATTACAAAATTAAATTTTGTGTGATTCATCCTTAATTAAGTCCAGTTTATATACTTCGAACTACACTCATATTATAAGAACTTATTGCATCCCCCCTATGTTCTACCGAGGTGTAAATGGTAACATGTCCAGCTAGAAATCCGTGGTTCAAATCCCAGCGAGGAGATGGGTGATGTTTCGTGTTTCCTGCTCCGGAAAAACCTATTTTCTTCACGTAACGGCCGAACTAGAATGCGATGAACGGTAAATCGTCAGTACCTGGTCATTGATTACGTTGACCTCTTCCTAATTGCATTTTATGTGATAGAGAACATAAGAGCTATTACAATGATGTCCAAATTTTATGTACAAATTTAATGTGAGAACCCTTTGCTTTGAACTTACGTTTTAGTAACTACTACTCCAGGCCTAAACCAACAAACACTACTGTCTTTCCCGCTAAAGCAAGTAAAGTTGACTCTGTGACAGTCAGTGCTAAGTCATATTTCAATTTAATTCTGTGCTCCAAAAGAACTGTACTATAATACGATACAACAGAAGATTAACAGACAACCATTAAGTAAAAATTACATTAAGATCAGACAGACATTCTTTCTTATCTTTAATTACTACAATATAGATGTTCAAAAGGAAAACGAAAAAGAAAATTTTAAATTAAGGGAATTGCAAAAGCTATGAGAATAATTTAAATTTTAGGTTGTTTACAAATTACTATGGCAAACAACTAAGTTACATTTTTGTTCCAACAGTTTACCATGTTATTCTTAAACCGTTCTGGTGTTCTGATCTGATCTTAAATGATGTAAAATCTCATTACTCCAAACATTATTTTTGTCCCTAGTATTTGTAATTTTTTTATATAAATTATTCAGACAACTTTTAAATTCTTTTAATTTAAATACTTTATCGTTTACGAATATGAAAAAAGGTTTTTGCATTAAAACAAGTAGGGTAAATAAATCGCTAAAATTTTTCTGCGGTTTGAAAATAAATTATAAGACTAAATTTAATTTTTTATGCAAAAGAAAATACTCGGGTCAAATTAAATGAGGAATAATAAGTATATTTCTAGAGAATATTTTTCGAATATTTTGACGCGAATGAATTGATCGAAGATCCTCCCCCTCTTCTCTAATAGACGACTGCTTTTTTTCCCTGTCCCCTCTTCTAAGACTTGAATTTCCAAGTTTGGTTTGCTGCAAAAAGTCATTTATCGCCATTAACGGGGCATTTTATAAGACTGGAAGCTTCTATTTCGTTTATCATATGTAAAAAATTGAGCTCCAACAATATTATTTAAAAAGCCTGGCGTGTGCTAAGTAAAATAAATTTCTTTTACACTCATTTTTAAAGTTTTTATGATGCTTTAAAGAATGATGAGCCAAATCTTTTTTTATTCTCTGTAAGAATAAGAACTTTCCAAGTTGTAGATTTTTAGTCGCTGATATATATATCATTTTGAATAATAAAATTGATAGATTAATGACTACACAAAACGGATATAATCACCTCTCCAACATCGGTTTGAGTCACCCCTTAAATAAATAACTATAATAAATATTACAAATCTGTTTAGCAGATTTTTTTAAAAAATCAAATTTAACCCTTTTAGGTAAACGTTCTCTTTATTAAATTTTTATAAATTTAAATGGATCGCTTACTGGTTCTAAATTCACACTGCAATATATTGCCGTATCAAGCTTTCATTTTAGTCATTGATTATTTTAAGGTTATTTACTTTCTTACAAGGTCCATATTTTAATACTAGAAAAAGTTTAAATTTATTCTGTTTTCCCGTTACTCTATCTGATGTACTTTGGCACACATTTAATTTCTAATACACATTTAATTAAAAAATTGATAATTATGAGCGGCTGCAGAATTTCACAATTAACAAAAAAATTCGAACTCCCTTTATTCATATCTTTTTAATTTTTTCCCTTTTATTCCACTCCTTTTTCACATTTGTTTGTACTTTAGATGTTTATTAAGAAATTTATAATTTTGTAATTATTTAGTTAAATGAAGACCTTCAACACCTTTGGTAAAGCTTAATCTTCAGTATGCAGCGTATTTCTAACCTAGTTTCAGGCTGATTCTTTTCAAATTAAGTATTTGAAATCATTTTTAACAAAGATGTAAGCTAATCATCTAATAAATTTCTAACTGTTGTAATTATAAATTACAAGTTCGTAATTATAAGAGAATTCTTTATATAATTTTTCAGCAGTATTAAAATTATATCAGAAAGGTATATATTTTATTACAGGATTAGATTGCCATTTATATTGCCGATTGCCTTCCCTGATGCGTTTATACATTCCTAATATTTTAATGGCAACAGAATTTAACAATTCCCAAACATGTAAACCTCTAACACCCACTTTTGCTCTTACTTTGCTGTATCTCTATTTTCTTCATATATTGTCCCTATCTAAAAAGGTCTTATGATCAAGCGAAAAGTCACAAACATTGTTAGTTCGACGAGTTTAACCCAGAGATCCCCAGCTCTTTCTTTGTTTGTACTTGTTTACTGTAAAAATATCATAAAAATTTCAGTTCATTAAGCAAAAATTTTTTTTAATTATTTTTAAAACTATTGGAAAAAATGTTCACCTTAGTGTTCTTTTTCAAATCCCTTTAATAAGAAAAAATAGGAAGAATTAACTCAGGTTCGGTGATTGATACCTCGTTCAAATTATTGTAACCTTTTCCAAAGCATAGGGTTCATATGGATATCAATAAATGAAGATTATTTCTCCTCTATTTTCTTAACATGTTTTCCAGAATTTTCTTTTCACACTGTACGCTAAACTGTATGATTTCTATAATCATTCAATTTCTGTAGCTATGGTACTTTGCATACCTTCTGACAGTAGTTTAATTTTTAACCACTGTTTTTAATTCCTGTTTGACTTTCAGTATATTATTCACTGTTTCACAAATGCAATATTTATTTGTACGCAAGTCTACCGTCTACTTAAATACAATAACTTCAGTTATGCGGACCTTCGATCGATGCTGTTTTAGATTGAATGAAAAACTTATTGCCATTGTTAATTAGCCGTTATTAATTTAAACTGTAGTTTCTAATTAATTATATGTTCAAATATTTCCAATATATTACACAACTTTGCATCCCATTTGAGTTTTTGGTTAAAAAAATAGCTTTAATTTATTGATGGCCCTGGTTATATTAATTGCAATACTGTTTATCTAATTCTTTTCTTCTAGATAAATTTTAGAAAAAACTTTTACATAATAAAAATTTATTACAATTTACTTCAGTGTTCCAAACGCATAGTCAGTTGTTATAATAGATTTGAAACTAGTTCTTAAATTTACTATTAATTTCTGCAAACATTTACATTATACTTAAAAACCGAAAATTGTTTCTAGCACACTTTAACACACTTTGATTTGGAATGCACGCCAGTGAACTATATTAATTTTCCAGTCTTTTCATACATTTTGCTATTATGATGCAATTTATAAAAAATGATTAGTATCTTTACATTATGTTAATTTATGATATAATTATTTGCTTTGCTGTAATATTTAAAAGGAAAATGTTTGTAATACAATATTTTTGTTTACCATCTTTAATTTTTTTTGTCAAGCTCTCCCATTGTTTAATTTCTTACTTACCTGCTATTCTTTCTTCTTCCTATTTGATATCCTTTATTTTGTTTTCTTCCTTGCTACAGTTGGCTTCGAAAAGTTAATGTCCTCCGGAGGCAATGGGAAGAAATTTTGATTCACGCAATTGGAGCCACTGTAATTTTTTGCTATCTAGCTTTTTATTCATTACTGAAAGGAATGAAATATCATGGTCCTTAAACCAAATAAAATAAATAACAATAAATAAAAAATGGCTAAAACTTTGACTAAAATAAATAAAAATTGACCGTCTATCTAGCATTTTTATGAAAGGAATGAAAATCATGGTACTTAAACCAAATAATCGTCTGACAAATATAATTTAATGAAAAGGATATAAACGTTTTCAAAATAAATAAAATAAAATAAAATAAAAATTGTTAAGTCTTTGACTTAAATGAAATAATCGTCTGACCGATATAGTTTAACATATAAGACGAATAGACTAATAAAGTGTTAACAATCCATAAAAAAGATTCGCTATTCCTATTACCCATTACATGGTATTATTTTGCCGTATTATGGCATTTAAGGTAATGAATATTTAAAACAGCTGTTATTTCTGCATTCTAAAATCAAGAAAACCAATCACTATAAACTGAAGAATTACTTTGGATACATTACAGCACCAGAAATTTCTTCCCCCGCATGTAAGAATTTAGGAATATGTTTCTGTTACTGTATAGTGATATTTTAAATTTTCATGTTTGCAGAAAACTATATTCTTAAATTAAGAGTTCTTTTTTATCAAAACCCGAAATATACGCATATTTTATATTGCTGTAACTGTGTGGTCAAACTTGGAGATATATTGTTTTTAATGGTTTTTGATATATATTTATAAGTATTATAGTAATTATTCAAATGGATGTCGAATGAAAATGGTGCGAAGCTGTTTTAATAAGTTTAAAAGTTGCAATTTCTTGCATTGTTCTTACCGAAGTTTTAAAATGTTCTGGAGAAAATTCATTTCTATCTTTGAGAACACCAGATTTTCTTGTGACTCCATCCAAGAGGTCTGGTCGACTACGTTGGAAATTATCATTTGCAAATTCATGCAAATCAGGGTTCGCTTTATAAGCTTGCTTTTGTGCATGATCATAAATTTTTCGAAATCCATACAAGTTAAGCTGCCTTACAAAACTTGATATGTTATCAGTTTTAAAAAAATCATTTTTTGTACTCATAAATTCCTCCTTGAATAATGAATAACGTAATAAAATCGATTTTCCATCCGGACTCCAAGCTACTGCTCCACTTTGACATTCATTTGCAATTTTCCATAGCTTTTGAGGAAATCTCAGTGGCGAAACACTAGATGTCTGATTTTTAAAGTCCTGACGAGAAGACATAAGGTATTTTGCTTTAAAAGAACACAGTAAATATTTGTTAAATAATGAAAACAGACATTTAAAACTGTTATAATCATTCAGTTTTTCTAAAGAAAACACATTATTTATTAAATTGAATTTTAAAATCAGATATGCTCGAACAGTAATAAAATGCACGTGAAATGAAAAGTATTAATATTTTAATAACTATAAGAATAGTTGTTAATTAGCTACTTTTTCGAATTAATATTTATTTAGTTTCTAATTTTTCTACCTCATTTTTATGTTAGAGAGCTGATAGAGTTCGTGTGTTTTTGACAGCGTGAAAATCCATGTTCATCCTAAGCATGCATTACTTTAAACAATATTCGGCTATAAAGTATGTCATCTGTTCTTATATTAGGAAGTCTAAATTTTGGCTTCATATAGAAACTAGAAGAATGGTTCGCTACTAAATTGTAAAATTTATCTACAGATAGGCCTTATATGATTGGGCAGCACCTGCTTAAAATTGCAAACAAGACGCTGCAATGCTTTTTGATTTTTAAAGAACTCGGAAATTCGTTTCGACTCGACGGTCAATAGAAATTATTATATTTTTGAATGAATTTTCATTAAGAGACACAATGACCAGTGTACTTCATAGTAATTCTCTATACTTTTAATGCATTGCATTTTAATTTTTTTCATTTTATATTAAATACATTGTAGGTTTTTGTGATATATAAATATAGGCCAAGATTTAAATTTTTCTCTAAAACTTTAGCATAGGCCTGTAAGAATCACTGACGGTTGTCAAGAAAAAATTATCTGTTAATTGACTGAAGTGCATTTTTTTAATAGGGTTCTTTAGCTGTTCAGCTTATGCTTCTCATTATCTTGCGACCCTCTTTAAGTTATAGAAGTACGTAAACAGAACAAAGAAACAAAGGCTTTCTTTCTGTTTTAGGGGCTTTTCCCTGAAGGTCTATTGTTTTCGTTTTGCGATTTTGCGTTGAATCACTATAAATGTCCGTTTCACTTTTCAAACTGTTGCCACCACATGTTGGAGTCTTGGATTGTATTTGAAGAAATTAAATAATGAAAAATCTGCATAAATGTTTATATATTTCTCGCATTGTAATAAAACAACGGTACATAGAGCCATCGAATTTTGAATGACGTAATCCTCCTACGAATATGGGCATGTGGAAGACCAAATTTGAAATTTAAAATCTGATTTATTATCGATTTCATATTTTGTAAAACTTAAGGAATTTTTGTGTAACAAACTCAACGATTTAAAAACGAGCAATGGCAACACTCTACGGCGGGAAAAAAAACATTTTTATTTTTTGTGGGCGAGGAACTGTTTATCGGAAATTCTAAAGCTATGCTCATTTTAAAATTATTTTGCGACATTGCTACTGAACTGAATTTTATGGTTTAAGTGAAAGAACATGATATTTAATAAATAAAGGTAACACATAAAACGTTAAAAAAAAAAAAAAAACGCTTCTTTGGACGTAATTTGAAATCTGAAAGATTTTTTATTTTATTTTGTTTTGTTTATTTATTGTTTACTTGATATTTCTTCTATTGCTTTGAAATATAATTATCACGACCTTCTCATTGATGCACCTCTTTAGCGATATCTCATATCGGATTAGATCAGGCTAGTGATAGGTATATAATTCTAAAATTAAATTCAGGGCTTCAGTTTGCACTAATCATACAAATACTTGGTCGCCGCCTAGACTCTCAAGACCTGGACCTAGAACTTGGTCTTCAGAAACCCCAAATCATTCTATAATTCCTGTTTCTCTCCTCATAAAAGCAAAAGTAGGCCCCACCTGTGCCTTTTTTTATTTGACTGAATGTAAGGTTTAATAAAAGCAATCCATAATAAAATGCAGTTTTATAAGAAAATCCGTTTTCTGCATTTTTAAATCCCAAAATCATTAATTTATATGCTCAAAATCAACTGTCAATAATATTTCATTTTCGATACTCATCTAATTTAAATTATTCAAACGAAATTGAGTCATACGATTTCTCAATTCATTTTTGACCAATCTGAGTTTTGAAAATGAACGCTGACCACTCGCGTTAGTAATCATCATCGACAACAATATTTTCATTACTATTTCAATATTTGAGAACATTCTGAAAAAACTCAGGTTTTCGCCATCAGTGATTAGATATCACTTAAAATGTTCACATTCCAAATTCAGTTCCTCCCCGTGAACATCTTTATCATAAAATTTCGATATTTTCTCGCATGCTATTTTACATAATATCGATCTCATCTAAATTACAAATATTTTCAAAAAATCGAAACAGTTCAAATACCTCCTCGTATTTTTTACTGAGTTTTTGTATGTTGTAAATTAGACAGTCGACTATTGGTAAAAAGGATTCTACTTTAAACTTATGGCCGTGATTATCTTGTCCTTGTCTGAGATAAGAAGTTATAATTAATAAACTAAACATAAAAATGAATTACATTAAAAACAATATTGATAAAGTGATTCTACCACCTCTTGATAAAGTTTAAGTCTGGTAGTGATGACCAGACACTACCAGACTTAAACTTTATCAAGAGGTGGTAGAATCTGACATCATTACCATTACTTTATCTTGCATACTGATATGCTACTGCTCGTCTCAAATTAGCAGAGATATCGAAATTACCCTATATTCCGGCGTATAACACGCAATACAATATATAAAATCGAAATTTAAGGGTGAGCTTCATATGCCGGATATAAAAAAATATTGATTTAAAAATAAGAATGTGAGGTTTATCTATTTATTTTTAACTAATAGTTCGTTTTAAGTTAAAAATCCTTTCCTGCTACTCTCTTGTCACTCACGCTTTTCATGACAGAATGTAAATGAGACAGCGAGAATTTATTCAGAGTAATGTAGAAGGAAGAGTTTGGGAAGTTATTTTTAGCGCCTTTCTCTCGATTCCAGGTCACGTTGTGCTGCGATTATTAGCGACTTGCGTTTGCGTTAGCGGCGTTGACTGTTCCAGCCATAGAGCTTGTCTTGCCGGTTTACTACAAACCAGAGCTCTTCCTGTGCGTTAAAGTATTCTGCGAGAAGTTAGGCTAATCTGCTACACCTTGAAATTAGTATTTGTTACGTTATTCTGTTCAGCCAGAAGTCAGTGGCTTCTTGTGACCGAAGTTGGGTCATTGTTAATTTTATGTTTGAATAAAAGGGTCTTATACACCTTTCTTCGAATTTCTGTTTTATTTCACAAATCGAGAAGTTAATTCTTCAAGAGTCTTTTTAAAAGTTTATGTTTCCAAACAGACATAGACTTTACAAGGAAAAGATGAACATACAAAAATTATATTTCTACATGCTATTTCTGTATGCTATTTATAAGAGATGACGTACTTACAAACTTAAAAATTTTCTTTATCGGATAACAAGAAATTTCGTCACATTCATCTTCCGTTATATATTCAGATATAACATCGAATTTTGTTTCACCTTCACCGCAATCACTTTTACTCGATTCATAAATAAATAACCATCTTCCTTTCTATCTAGATAAATCATTCATATTACATTTTTTCAAATTCTTTTTGAATTAAGTGGGTTTAATTTCCTTCCATGTCTTTATTACCCATCCACCCGTTGTTTCTAGACCCGTCGCAATTGGCCTCCTTTTGTAAATGTTTCTTTCCCCTTCTAACATCCCCTATCGTTTTAAATCGTTTTACCTTTGAATAGTTTATTGATACATACAGCTAAAGGCTAAACTAATGGCATTAATCCACTTGGAATAACTACCATGTCTATACTACACCTTTTTTCAACAGTTCAACGTATTATCCACTGGATGGGATCGGAACATAAACCAACTAAAAGACTTTCTGCATTCTTTTACAGGACGCTTTTGCCAAAGATTTCTTATTCATAACTTCACACGTTTCCATCCATCTATCTTTTCTCATGAACATGAATGAAAACCACATTTCGGTATCATCTTTCTTTTAAAAATAACCCTGGGTTTTAGTTTTATACAGTCCGCTAACCAGCATGCCACTACGGTAAGGTAAGAAGTTTTGGGACCTGTTGCTTTATGTTAACTGGTTAACTGTTTTTATTCTTTTAAAGTGATTTTTTCTTATTTGCTATCATATAAAATATTACCCGAGTTTCCTCCGTATTTCCAATATGGGACAGTAAATAATTTTTTTGGCTTTCATAGTTCAATAACATACTCCTGGAAACTTACCAATTTTTTGTTCAAATCTTTCGGAAGCTTTTGCGAAACTTTTATTTTTATTTATTTATTTATTTATTCAGATCGAAAAATAGTGTTTTAAAGAAAGAGTTTTGGAATTTCTAAAGTTGTATGGCTATTATTTGAAGCACACCAGTTACTTATAATTTCATCCTGTAATATACTTTGTAAGGATCTTAAGTTTTACTAACGTTTATTTTATTTTAAATCTTTTACTATCACTTCTTATTTTCTACTTCCGGCCAGAATTATAAGCGTGAAGGTTTTTATGCAAAGTTTGTCTGGCGAACGCCAAGTATTTAAGTTGTGGCCTTTTGCCAAGCGAGAGAGAGAAAGCAGTGAGTTCGAAGCAGGCCGCTTACCTTAGAAGTTACGCAGTTGCTTGTTGCCTTCCAGACCAGAGGTTTTAATCCTCTTGATAACTTTTAAACGTATTGTAGTGTTCTCAGTTATCTGTACTACATACGCCTTCCTGTTAATATAAGGCCAATCTTCCACGTTTATTATTCTAAAGTTAAAGTAGAGTTTAGTTTTATTTTTATACTTTTACGTTAGACCCCGAGTAGCGGGTCGGTGTATTCCCAAGTACGGAAGTTATTGTATATAGAGAAAAATAAAGGGTTTTGTATACCCTTCGTCTGTATCCTGTCTACTTACCACAATTAGTGAACATAGCTTTAGTAAGCTCTCTGTTCCGAGTCAGGTCCTTGTATGTTCCCGAAGAAGGTAAGAAGGAACATTGAACCTGATAGTGGCTCCCAACGAAGAAGAATAACCATGGCCGAGTTTCAAGAAGAACCTGTGCTGCCTGCAGAAACGGCTCAGAATCCAGAAATGCCAGCTGCCGCCCTGGAAGGATTTGGTTACATCGTCCAGACCA